TGACGATTTACTCGATACTAGACCGCTATCGGCCGCGTCGTAGAAAGATCAAAATCCAACGGGCGGTTTATCTTGTGACGCCTACAAGGAGTTTTTCCGGGTGACAGCGCCTGCGAACCTCGGGGTAGGCTCCACTGCAAAACACCTGTGTGCAACGGGACTGCGCGACCCGAGCTCCGCAGGCGTCAAAACGACAAACCACTCTTCTCGCTCGCTTTGAAGTTTCCCGCGCCGCTCGCTCCGCTGGCCGGATGTTCGCTATCGGTGCGGAAGAGCGCGGCAGCACGTAAGAATGCCGTTTGAGGAGAATTAATCTGAATAATCGTTACGTCGTCGCTGCCACTGCACTGCCACCGCTGCGGTCAGCGGTAGGCAACCCAGGCAACCTGTACGTGTGTGCGGGGCGGGAGAGGGCGCGGGGAGCGGAGCCGGCCATTATGAAACCGCTGGGTTTGCATGGCCAGCCCCCTTTACGAGGCTAGAAACACTTTTCAACGGGATTCGTTTCACCCATTTTTGGGGCCACGCAGCAGGTCCGTTGTATGGCGAGAACGCAGTCGGCAGTAGTAAAACGAGGGTTATTCAATTTTTTCTCAGGCCCAGGAAACTATCCTTTCGTTTTCCAGGAGTCGGTCCAGGCTCGTTGGAAGTTAGTTACGCTATCGAATCGCTCGGGCTGATCAGACTAAGTGGCAGATATGAAAATTTGCGCGAATCGGGGTCGCGTTCGTCCCTCGCGGGGCCGTTCCCCCGACGCGTGCATCTGATCGGTGTCCGCAGTCCGCGGCCCGTGAAATTCGTCCCTCGGGCCCTCCGCTCTGTCTCTCTCGCACTCGCGGGCCGTGCAGGTGCGAGAGAGACGTGCACTGCCTTTGGCTGGCCGGCCGGCTGTGGTCCAGTGACCCTATCCCCTCGATCTGACTTGGCGCGCATGTCGTCCGATCCTTGGGCAAGCGACGCGGCGTGGCGTGGCGAAAACAGGATAGCCCGTCCCGGGCCAAGCCTTCCCCGTTGCCCGCTGGCACGTGCGCGACTCGCTTTGGGGCGTCGGGGTCTCTCTCGCACAGTGCGGTGGCGTGCAGCGCCGTGTGGGTGCGAGAGAGACAGCCGCTGCAGCCGCAACCAGAGCCATCATTTCCCCGTCTTGCTTAATTTCTGCGCGTGTGTTCGGCCTGACCTCTCCCAGTGCCCCCGCGCGCCCCCGGCGGCGCCAGTGGCAGTAGTTTATCCTTAAATACCCAAAGTCGGTCAACATTCCGGGCGAGGCGTACAATGTTCGGCTGCTTCGGCTGTGTTCCACAGATTGGGCGTCCTTGCCACGCCAGTCCGGTGGCGTGGAGGACCTCGCCGGTCACGACTCGGCCGGACAGTCAAATTGTCCAGCCTGTGCCTGCCTCTCTCGCACCCGCACGGCACGCGGCGCGAGCGCGAGAGAGACAGTGCGACGAAAGCCTGCGACGAAAAGCCCCGGCGATGTCCGCGGCGAGCCCCGGCGCCTCCAAGGTCCCCAAGGGCGCTGTCCGCGCTCGTCGTGTAACGACGCAGCGTCGCGTCGCTTTGGCAACCCGTCGGCCACTATCACCGTGTCCGCCGTGTCCGCCGCACAGCGCGCTGTCCACATCCATCCACTACAATGCACGCCCCATTTGCACCGCGACCGGCCGCGACACCGTCCAAGGACTGTCCCCTAACTAGCCGCTTTATTCAAATTTATTTTCCACTTAATTGGCCGCGCCGGTTTTGCCATACGTTGAGACATTTACACAGTAGTGCACGGTAGTGGCGCGGCGGCGGCGCGGCGGCGCGGCGACCGGCGGCTGGCATTTTCCTTTCTTGGCGGCGCTGCGGCACTGCCTCGCCGCGCCGTGCCGAGCCGCACTTCTTTTCGCGCGCTTTTTGCCGCCCTTGGGCAAAGGCCGGCGGGCAGTGCAGTGGCAGTCGTGGCAGTGCAGTGGCAGCGCCCCAATCCGACCGACCGGCCGGCTTGTTCTGTTCGGCGCTAACGACGCTGCTTATTGGTCATTGCACGCAATGACAATTACCAGTGGTGCAGCGCCAGCCACGCCCCCGTGGTGAGTCGGCCGGCAGTGCAGGCGCAGGCCGGCCGGGCCGGGCAGGCAGTGTGCGCGCCGCAAGGTCGCCCGCCTGCCCTTGCTCCCAGTGTCCCAACTTTCTCCGCGAAGGCTCCGCGCGCCGCACTCCGCACGCTCTGCTCTGCACCCGATGGCGTGGCGGCGCGGCGTCGTAACGCTGGGAAGCAGCCGCGCAGCCACCGCCACTGTTAGAGGCGATGCGCGACGTCTTTATGGTGGTGGCGCGCGGCTTCCTAGTGTACCACCGCGGCGGCCGCTGCGTGCCCTGCTCGTCGTCGTCCTCCTTCTTGGCGCTCTCCGCCTCCTCCACCTCCTCCTGGCGACCCGATGACCCCCGATGACCCGCGCGTGATGACCCTCCAACACCACGGCAACAAAGAGACGTTCCCATCAGGGCGGCACTGCGGGCACTGGCTGCGTATGTTGGCCAACGTGGTGCATGGCACGGCCAGGGTGCGGCGTCTGCGCCGGGTCCAGCGGGTCGCAGTGTCGACGAGGAGGTGACGCCGCAGGCCGCAACGGCAAAAAAAAAAAACAACATCAACGAAAAACACAAGCCTGCTGTCAAATGACCGAAACATTTGTTGATTTGTTGGCGCGAAAATGATGGCACGGAAAACCTGACCTAACCGTTTTGTTCAGTATGAAAAATTTCTTAAGTTCCATTTTTCTTTAGATCATTTTTTTCCGCCTGTTGGCCGCCCCGCTGCTGCGCGCAGGGCGTCAAAAAGGTTCCGGCGCGAACCGCCTAATTTTCGGAAGATCCTTGATACTCGCCACGCGACGACAGCACACGACAGGACACGCGGTGCCACAAAAGGCTCATTAAAGGAAAGGTCGACGGGAGTGCGACCGTTGCGGCCGGGACGGGCCAGGACCGCCCCAAGGACCACGTTCGCCTAATTGCACCTCGAGTTTACTTCATTGTTCTTCGCGGAAATGCGGCCTAGACACTAAAAATGAAATAGAAAACGACACCGCCGAAGCGGGTCAACTGCAACGCGAGGGGTCTGTCTTTGAAGGACCGAAAAGATCGCCAGAAGATGGCCGCTCCAGTCTGGAGCCTCCAGATCCGCGATGATCCAGATGGCCTGACGCCGCGCTGCCGCCACCCCGGTTCCCGGCCGCCGGGCGATGTCTGTTCCAGTTCCTGGTTCCAGAGCACGTCCTTCCAGCCGGCAGCCTTCCAGAGCAGTGGGGCCCGCAGTGATGCAATGCATGCTGGGACGCTGGAAGACAACCGCGCGCCAACGGTTCTACATTAAACCTTCGAAAGGCGTCAGCGTGTTTGCGGACTCGCCGACTCTGCTGCTCTCTCTTTCTCTCTCTTTCTCTCTGCCCGTTTCCGCAAGTTGCTCGTTGGTTGGGCGATGCTAATTAGTGGCTGTCGGATGAGAGAGGTTAGTCGGCCACTTAGGCCCGGTTAAACTTGGCTACGCGTCAGAGATGCCGCTGAAAAGAGTGAGAAGAAGTCAATGGCAACTACAGAGAACAGACAAGTGCACTGGAAGTCGGCGATAGTTTTTTTCTGGCCGAGCATGGCGTCCGAGTATCCCATGCAGGACCGCGGTCTGGGCGCGGGGCGGAGCGGGGCAGCCGACATCAATGGCACAACAAAGCACGCCTTGTCGCAACAACCACTGTTCTGTTCCTTCCATTTTGAGGCAGAAAAGTGCATGGACATGAATGAGTGGACCGGCCGCTCTCATGGCGCCGTGGCGCTAGCCTCGCACGGCGGCACGCCACGGCACGGCACGGCGGCAGCGGATCGAGAAAACGAGATGGCCTCTCACACTCCAATAGGCACAAGGCTGAGAACGACACCGAAGCCGCACCGCACCGCCTTTTCGTCGAAATATGGGAACGCGAAACGGCAGGGCGGTGCGCCTTCGAGCCGCCCGGCCTGGGAAAAGTCCGCCAACGGTCGGTACTATCGGTTGGCAGCACTGTCGGGCCGACTGTGTGCGTGCGTCTGCGCGCGTGTCCGGCCGGGGATGGGTCCCACAGGCACAAGCAAGCCAATTCCTGCGTGTGTGTGTTAAATTTTTTTTGCTTTAAAAAAATTACTGTGTAGGCGTTAATTACCTTCTGTTTCGGCACGCGCCGTATATCACGCCCCGATAGACCTGCCGGCTGCCCATCACGGTAGCAGCCAACAGTGTGGGCGGCTAGATCGGCGTAGATTTAAGAGCGCCGCGGCGGCATCTCGACTCCTTGACCTGCCAGTGTGCCCGCGCCAAGCCGATGTGGGTCACGATGCGCGTAATCACTGGGTTCGGCGGTTTTATTTTTTTTTCTCCCTTTGCCAGTGGTGCAGTGCAGAGCAGCGGGAGCGGCGAGAGAAAGAAAGGGAATGATTAAACACGAGCGATTCCAGTGGTGCTGGAGATTTTTCAGCCGTTCGGTTTGCGTGACTTGCGCGTTCATGAACTGATACGGAGAGGATGAGCTCGGTGGTGCAACACGGCCGAGCCAGGCCGAGCGCAGCGGCCGGCAGGTGATGCCGAGAGTGAGAGTGGAGGGGAGAGGGGGGGGGGTGCAGACAAGGAGAAGGAGACTGCACGACGAGGTGCGAAACAGGGAACACAGTCACAAGAGAGGACGAAATGTGGCTCGCCCGACCGGTGAGCCAGGTCTGCTCGAGTTCTGCCGCATCTCGTTCATCTGTAACCCGCATCCTGATTCCGCCGCTGTGTCTCTCTCGCACTCAGGAGAGAGACACAGCGGCGAAACGCGCAGCGCGGAATGAGACCCACATAACCTCACTCACCCCGTGATCCCCTCTGTGCAGGTGCAGCGGCAGTGCTGCTGCTGGCGTTGGTGGCGCAGTCCGCCCGCGCCGAGGAGGCCAAGAAGGCCGACACGAAGCAGGCCGTCGGCGAGGCGACGGAGGGCAAGGAGCTCATCATGCTGGAGCTGGAGCGGGTCGGCGACTCCAGGGACAAGCGGCAGACCGAGGGAGAGGCCGACTTCTCTAACAAGGAGGTGGGTATCCAACCGTCACTATCCCAATGACCGCCAGCATCGCCAGGCCCACCACGCGCGGGAAGTAAAGACGGTTGACATGTCAATGCTCGGCTGCGACTGCCAAAGAAACACTGGAGCCACAGCCGGCGCCTTATAAGCTTAAGAGTCCTACACCCACGGCCTGCTCTAAATCACTCAGCCGTTACATAAAGCCGTCTGTAACTAACGTGCAGACCTGCCAAGGACGCGGGCCTTGCCTGGGCCTTGCCTGGCCCGGCCTGGGCCTTGCCTTCGCCGTGACCCGAAAACGGACTGGTCCATTGAACTACCGGTCACGTTGGTGCGTTGGCAGCACTGCGCACCGCCCACGACAACAACTGGATCGGGAGACAAACGGCACTCATTTCGCGTGTCTACTTTTGAAACGCTCCAACAAGGCGATTACCCATTCAAACAGGCCGAGCCAATCTTTTTTTCTCCTTTTTTTCGAAATGGCAATAATTATTATTCGCCGTTCCAGCCGCGTCGTGCACTTTCCAGCCGGTCGGCCAATGAAAATGTTGATGCAAAACGGGCAGCGCGCTGCTGCCGGCTTCCGCCTCGGGCCGCGCCGGCCGCGCGCAACATCTTAACTGTGTGAATGTCAACACACGCAGGAAAGTGGAGTGGAAAGCAAGGACGTTACACTGCCCGCAGCACGGGGCTGGGCTTGGCGGGGGTCGGCTCGTCGAGACGATGTCAAATCGGCAAGGAGTACATTGCGTAAATTTGTAGGTTAGGCTGGCCACACTCTCAGGACAATGGAGGTTAAAGGTCAGCGTCCTATAACCCCCATCGTCTCGACCCGTAATCACCGGTAGCTGCACACTTTTGCATGATTTAGCGCCGACACTCTCGGAGGTGGAAATTAAATACGTTTCGCACTCAGGCCGAGAAAAAAGAGAAAGTGCCGCGAGAATCGATCTCAGGGACGGTCGTCTCACACGGTATTGTGCGCGCGCCTTCGTGTTCTTGCCGCCGATCGTACAGTTTCGCCACCAGGACATGCCATTCGGAGGAGTGGCAGTGACACAGTAACACAGTCACTCCTTCGAAATGGCTGTCGGCCAGGTTAGGTTCGATTGGCAGGGAGGAAAGGGATACCGTCCAAACGAGGCTAGCTTCGGTAAGGTGAGGTTATGTTAGGTTATGGCCAGGCTGGTCCAGAGGAGAAAAGAAGGGGGTATTGTCCCGGAATAAACGAGGTTACGCGGTTCGCATTGCGACGGGTCCCTCGGGTTGTTTGGGCGGCCCGACACACAGGCAGCCTGCCAATCAATTAGAGTGGCGTGTCGCAAGGCGCGCGCGCGGTGGCGCCAGGAAGGGGTGGCGGGGCGGTCGACGTGCACCTGCGCGACACTCGGAGTTCTGTTCTCACGGAGATCCGGGTGACCGTGGCTTGGCCGTGGCTTGGCCGTGGCACGGAGGATATTGCGGGGTGCTCTCCGTAAGGCGCTGCCGATCTGAAACCGGTTGAACGCCGCGCATTCTCGCGAGGCGCCGGGCAGGTCGTTTGGGTACCTTGGGGACCAGTAGGACCACCAGTAGGACTAAGAAACGGTTCAGTCACTCCTGTAACGAGTACGTTACTGTAGCTGGAGACTTTGTCTAATGATTTCGCCGAGTACCTATGTAAGAAGCGCTCAAAGTAAGGGGTACAGCCTCAAATTTAAAGCGGTTTATGATGTCGGACTGGTCGCGGCGGCAATACGAGACTCGCTTAACGGCCTGGCACACGGCTGCAGAATGTTGACTCAAGGCTTCGCCTTGGTTCTGAGCGTTATACGGCTCACTTTAGAAGGTTTTGTGCGTAAACCATTTTAACGTCACCTTGTTAGCAGCCGTGAGATTTGAGACTTCGCCTCCTTCTTGTGCAGGTCCCGCCAGAGTACCTGAGCCTGCTGCAGCAACTGCAGCTGCAGAACGGAGAGCCCCAGCCCGGGCAGGCCGGCCCCCAGGACGTGCAGCAGTACTACATCGCCAAGTAAGTCATTACGGCCAGCGGTGTGCCATTAGATTTCGGTACTCAGGCCTATCTCACGTGTAGGGCGTGCCTGCTGTGCCTGCGCGCGCGGCGGGACAGACCGGGCTGCCAACCAGACTTGTTACGTGTTATCCGGATACGCCCATTTGAGCGGAAACGCGGCAAAGTCGGCGCTTCGGCCGCAGACGCCGTCCCTGGCCTGGCCGGGCTGGCCGGGTCTGGCGGGCTGTCCTGGCGGGCTGTCCTGGCTGGCCGGCTGCTCGGTGACACTCACTGCACTTGCACATGCGACGTTACATCATTACAGCGCCGGGCTGTGGAAGGGTTTCAAGTGGGGTTGCCTTTGAAAATAACGCACGTCCTTGTGTGCCTCCAGGACGCCGTCCGGGGTGGTGTCGGGCGGCCCTCTGGACCGCGCGCCGCAGCGCTTCCTCCCCGCGCCGGGCGAGCCGCGGCCCTTCCGGCCGCGTGACCCCGTGCTCAACGCCATCTCGCGGCAGAACTCGGCGCTGCAGGCCGAGTACCAGCGCAAGGCGCTCCGCGACCAGGAGACCGTGTTCCTGATGCCGCGCGGCCCCGTCGGCACCGACCCGCCCCGCGCCGGGCCCCTGGCGCTGGCCGGCCTGTACCGGCCCGGCGCGCAGCCGCCGCAGCACTCGCAGGGCGTCCCCGTGCCGCCGGGCGGCGTCCCCGTCGGGCTCGCGCAGGGCGGCGGTCTGCCAGCCTTCTCCGCCCACGACGCCAGGCTGCGCGCCGCGCTGCAGGGGCCGCAGGCCGTGCAGTCTCCGCAGGTGAGTCTCGCTGCGTCCTGGATCGCATAGTGCCCGATCTGACCTAACGACGCCTTTTGGTCGCAGCCCCAGTACATCTCGCCGCAGTACATCCAGCAACTGCAGTCTCGCGGCCTGGCCGCCCTCAGCGGCGGCCCCGCGTCCGAGCTGGGCCTCGTGAGGGAGGCTGCCCAGCAGTACCAGGCCCGCCAGCCGCTACAGCTACAGCCGCAGCAACTGCAGCCCGCACCCAGGCCACAGCCCCAGCCCCAGCCGCAGCCCCAGCCCCAGCAGTTCGTCAACTACCAGGTACGAGGGTAACCCCCTTGACTCTTAACCGAAGGCAACCCAACGCAACCTGCCCTAACCCACGATTCTTCCAGGAGCTGACCCCGGCCGAGCTGCGCTTCGTGCAGCGCCAGCAGGAACAGGAAAACGCGCCGCCGCCGCAGCCCCGCTTCGTGCTGCAGCCCAACCCGCAGCAGCTGCAGGCCCAGATCGAGGCGCAGCAGGCGCAGCAGCAGGCCGCCAACGCCGAGGAGCAGTACCTGCGCGAGACCACCCCCGGCGGCCCGCCCCCGCTGCCCGTGCAGCCCGCCCGCGCGCAGCCCCAGCCCCAGCTGCAGCTGCAGCCCGAGCCGCAGGCCGCGCAGCTGCCCACGCACGTGCTGCAGCCGTCGCAGCTGTACCTGCAGCAGGTGCGCCAGCTGCAGGAGCAGCAGGCACTCGCCCGCCAGCAGCTGGCCGCGCAGCAGCAGCTCGTGGCGCAGCAGCAGCAGCCCAGCGAGGGCGTGCAGTACGTCCGCCAGCCCGCGCCCCGGCCCGCGCCGCAGCCCGTGGCGCACACCACGCCGCGCTCCTCCATCTACGTGTCCACGGCCACCAGCCCCAAGCCCCAGGCCCAGCCCGCGCCGCTGCGCAGCCGGCCCGCCATCACCATCGAGCAGCTGCTGGCCGCCGGCGAGGAGGTGGCCGACAAGCCCGCGCCCGGCCTGCCCGTCGTTCGCCTGCCCGCCAGCCCCAAGACCCTGACCCAGGCCGACCTGCAGCAGCTTATCGACGCCGGCTTCGACGTGTCGCCGGTGGCGGACCCCCGCGACCCCGCGGGCAGCGCGTACTACCGCTCCAGCGCGGCGGGCGACTACCAGCTGCAGGCCCAGCAGGCCCAGCAGAGGTTCGCGCCCATCGTGGTGCCCGACGAGGAGGCGCAGGCCGCGCCCAGGCTGTCCGCCCGCCAGCGACAGGCCTACCTCGAAGCGCAGGAGGACGCGTACCTGCAGGCGGCGCAGGCGGCGCAGAGCAGAGGGGTGCGCCTCGGGAGCAGCGGCAACTAGGACGCCCAGCCACTGTAGGGCCCGGACAACTTCCAAAAAACAAACCAATGCCTTCTCTGTGCCTGTGCTATCTCTGCGAAAAATAATGAGCGGCACTTCAACTTTTATTCGCAGTCTACTTCCAAATGGATGTGAACGTACTGACTATATTTAAATAATGTTTGTTTTGTTTTTTGCCCGGAGTTTGACAAGCAAACCTGGGCTTGGATTTCTCAGTGTGACAGAGTTACCATTTTACAAGTTACCTGTATACCTGTACCTTTTGCCTGCGTGTGAGGTGCTACCAGCGACGTGACGGAGGTCTACCGATACTCCATGTAATCAGTTCATTGTCTTGTAACGCTTTAACCTTGACCTTTTTGAGGTTTAGACTCTTTAAATTATACCGGTACCTTAGTGAAGCTGGCGGGTTGTCGCCGCCAGCGAGCGAATGGCAGAGATGAGTGAATGTGAGAATGAATGCAATTGTGTGTTTTTTACCATGTAAATATTGGAGAATGTTACCGTGTTTTTAGCAAGTAAGAGTGCCCTGCGCACATTAGACCATGCAGCAGCCTACCCGGCTCCGCATCGCGACGCCAGCATCCATGCTGAAGACTAGAGCAGCTTGATGTGGTATCGGGATTTAATGTGTACAGAACACAACCAGAATGTTTTTATGTGATTTTTCTATTTGTCGACGAACTGTGCATGTTTGTTTTGTGAATAAAAGTCTCTAGCTCACTTTGCTTTTCATTGACTTAGCATTACCCTCTCACTCCCTTTCAAAGTCGAGGCCGTGGTCAGGCATTTTAATTTGACGTTTCGAGCAGTCGCACCAGTGGAGGCAGGTAACCCATTTGACGCCTAGTCCAGTCACACCAGTGAAGGCAGGCAACCCATTTGACGCCCGGTCCAGTCACACCAGTGAAGGCAGGCAACCCATTTGACGCCCAGACCAATCACTTGAGTAGAGAGGCAGGTAACCCATTTGACGCCCGGTCCAGTCGCGCCTGTTGAGGCAGGCAACCCATTTGACGCTTGATCCAGTCTCGCCCGAAGAGTCAGGCAACCCATTTGACGCCTGGTCCAGACTCGCCTGTGGAGGCAGGCAACCCATTTGACGACCGGGTCGGTTAGGCTGGAGGCAGGCAAGGCAATGCTCTTTCGGCCGCTGAAGCTGTGTATTTGACGCCCGCGCTCTAGACGGTTCAGCGTCCAGCCGGGCCGGGGTTCATCTTCATCCAGGTCACCAGCATCGGGCCATCGGGCCGCGGAGAGGCAAGTTGGAGGGCGGCCGCACATCACTGTCAGTTTATTGCGCTAAAGGATAATAACAGTGATGAGGGCGGCCGACACCTTGCAAGACGGGCGTCATGTGTGTGCGTGTGTGTGCTCGGGATACGCGTGGGTGTTGCTCGGGCCTTTTGGACAGGCACACAACAAAACTGCGGTGGCCTTGCCGCTCGGCTCCAGAACATGGCCGCAGGGCAGCGGGCCAGTGCAACATTCATTGGCCTAAAAGTGAGGCTAACAGTGTGAAGTTGGCGTTGCACGGCAATCCATGAATTGCAAATTTGTAAATGCGCGTCAACGGTGACTAAACAGGCGAGTTAGACCACGCGACGCACGCAGAGCGGCACTTTGGGGCTTTTGCAGCCGCTGCGACGAAAAGGGGTTTTGTAGACCTTGGTTTCACAGAGAATCTGGGTCTTAAACCGCAGCTAAATTGTCGAACTAGGAAGCCCGCTATCCAAAGATTGCATCCTTCCGCGTCCCGCTTTCCCCGCTCGTCTAGCAGGCGATTGCAGAAGGTGCGGGAAATCTTTGGCCGCCACTGATCGCCACTGCAATAAAACACAGACTGTCAAGTGGGCCTTCCAAAAGCCCCGAAATTCCGCTCAAGATCCCGAAGCGATTATAACGGAAAAGGAGCCGCTTGTGCAACGGCCGGGCAGCGTGCGCTGAGCGTGCGGGTGGGCCGCGAAGATCGTGCCGCGGAATGGGTCAGAATGAAGTCATTTCGCTGTCCAAATAGTGGCCCTCGCTTCGTGAGCCTAATAACAGAGGCTACCTCCGGCAGGTTGGGCTCAAAGTCGATCAGGTGCAGCGTCCCGGGAGTGGACCAGTGGCAACCCATCTTCGGCGGGTCGTCTTACGTATCGCAGAGGGCAACGTTTCGGGGAGAAGTCGGCCAACGCGCAGCATTTGCATCTTAATTTTAAGTAACACACTATCACGGCGATCTTTTCATCACTTTTTTAAAAGTTTTTTTTTAACTGACGAAGTCGCAAAACAGTGGCGGCAGCTGGCGGTAGCTGGACTCACTGGAGTCGCCGATCCCGGCGATCAATTATTGACACCCTTGACACAGTGTTGCGGTGCTAACAGGGCGGGTCCGCTCGACAGGCCTAGCCGCGCCTAATATCATGTGAGGTGAGGCCCGCGCGGAAAAACACACCGACTACTTGAAAAAAAAGAGACACGGAAAAAAAGGTGATCAAATTATACTGCATTTATTAGCTTATTGCAGCTATCAAGCACTTTTAGTGCGTTGCCCGTAACAACCAGAATAGCAGCTAGGGTAAATTTTTTTCGACGTTCGGAGATTATTACGTACTGACACCTTAAAACGGTGAACTGCACTACTTGTGGGATCGCAAACCCATAGAATACAACAGTTTCACCTACTTGCTCGTTTTTAGAAAAAGGTGGCTCTCGTTTTTAGGAAAAGGTGGCTCCCGCTTTCCAGAACGGGACGTGCTGTGAGCGCGGCAAGCTATTAAAACGCCGTCCTTCTGCTCGCCTGGGCGGTCCCTGGCGGTTGTCATTGACTGCGCTACCGGGACCAGTTTACACGCACATCCATCAAAATGTTGTCACTGCTGCCCCCTCCCCGTCCCTCTTTCTCACGTTCAATGTCACACCGCCCCGCACCGCCCTGCCGGTCCTGGACCGGCGAGGTCTCGGATCGCAAAAACCGGTGGGCGCGTGAGTGTGTGTGAGGGAGAAAGAGAGAGAAGGAGCGACCGGCAGGGCTGCTACCCATAAGCTCCTTGCAGCAAGAATTCGGTCAAAAATCTATTCTGACACAAGGCCCGGCTTAACCGTTTTTTCACTTAACGCGTCCGTCGGGCAAGGCGGAGCTAGGCAGGTGTGCCTGGTGTCACTCACGCCGCGTTTTGACGGCTCGCTGGGGCGGCTTGGGGGGGGGGGGGGGGGGGGGGCGGCCGGCGTTGGCCGAATCGAGCGGCCGAATCTAGCCGCCGCGCTCGTCCCGCTGCCATGCCCGGCCCGGCCAGGCCCAGCCATCGGGGAGAATAACGCAACCGTGGAGGAACCTTCAATTCGGCGCTGGGCAAGCCAAGTAATTAACGCTCATTCGTGGCTTGTGTGTGTGTAGGTGTGTCGGTGTGAGTATGTGTGAGTGTGTTAGTGGGGACACCCATTCAGTGATTCATGGCGCATTTGATAGCCGCATCGATACATATTACACGGGACCAGTCGACGATCTCAAGTCCGAGGGCAAGATCAGGGACAGCGGTTCGATCGCACTGCTTGCGGCGTTTACTAAAATCTTAACACGCTCTATGTACTCCATAGAAGCGCCTTTTGACTGTCAAAAGAAAATAAATTTTTTTAAAATTTCATACGAAGATAAAAGGAGCAAAGACTCGACGAAATTGAGTCAGCCGCGCCGCAGCGAACCAGGTCTGCCCAGTAGTAGTAGACCAATCCGTCACAGACGAGAAGTTTCGCGATCATTTTCGCGAGGCGTGACAGAACACGAATATTGATATCCATCTGTTTCATTTCAGAAGGTGCGAGTGTGTGTGCGTGCGTTGCGGTGTGTGCATGCGCCGCGTGCAGACCGACCATGAGACGACACAACCCAACGGCTGTGTCCAGCGAGTGCTGTCACGGTCAAAGTCGAAATTTAATTTAATTTCGGACATACATACATCGCGAACAGCTGTGCCGCATTGGTTTAGCCTTTGCGAGCGTGATTGAGATTTTAATTATGATAGGGCAGCCGTCTGGAGTCAGTGCTGATTCCAAGATCGATCTGCATCCGTTGTGCATTATAGTAGAAACCCAACAGGAAGGTGCCTAGGAAAGGCATCGGGGCTGACAGCAACTTTATATGAGTTCAAATGCCAGACATCTATGGGTTCCCCCGGAGCTTCTATGAGTTCGTTATCCACTAACCTTTTAGCAAGGGTGGGTGGTCTCTACAGGACTTTTCGTTTTTCTCGGACGCTTAAGCCGGTCCACTATTACCCCAGAACGTGTCGCACCAACGTGCATTTATCCGAGTGCGATGAAAATAAAGGAAAACGAAACAGTGGATGATCGAAGGCACCCGGTACGCTCCACTCGTCCCTGGAAACGAGGCGTGGCGTGAAAGAGGGAGGGGGGGGGGGGGGTGTCCCCGCGAGACGCCACGGCCGTGTGGACCTGCCGCGCCGTGCCCTGCCGTGCCGTGCCACACACTCTACACCTTTCGCTCGGCGGGTCAGTTCGGAGTCGGGCCGGGCGGGCCGGGCGGCCGGACGTTCAAATCGACTGGCATTGAGAGGCGAAAAGTGAATCCTAGTAATCATCGTTTCGGAGCACGCGATGCGATATGGCCCTCCTCGCTGCACCGGCCACCTACACTGCGAAAAGACACACATGCAACACACCGAAAAATTGTCCAAAAAACTAATAAATTGACAGAGTATGCCGTATTTGGAAACTCGCTCTGAACGTCCCGATTTATGTAATTGGCAACATGAACAGGGCGCGGCGCGTGGACGCCGAAATCCCCGGCCGTGCAGCTCGTGAGCTGGGGGGAAAAAGAAGGCCAAAGTGACAGACGCATTTCGCACGCGAACGCGCCAAATTTACGATGTGGTTCCGGTCAGCAAATGAACCGGCCGGCTGGAGTGGAGGCAGTGGAGCCAGCAAGGAACAAAAAGTATAAGAGCCGTGAGAGCCTTGGCGGCTGATGGCCTGTTCCCCCTGTGTCATGCCCTGAG